TCTTGTGCTGAGATTCAATCCATATTGAAGACTGCAGTCTTTGGTCTTCTGCAGCAGGTCCTCAGGTCCTCCTCACTTTCAGCAAGCAAGATTGTGTCATCTACACAAGTCAGGTTATTGATGAGACTTCCTCCAGCCCTGATCCCACTTTCTTCATAAAGTCCAGCTTCTCAAATTATTTGTTCAACATGTAGATTGAATAAGTATGGAGAAAGGATACAGCCCTGATGACTTTCTTAATTTTAAACCATGCAGTGTTCCCTTACTCTGTTCAGATGATAGTTTTAGGTCCAACAAGACCAAAACTAACTGGGATTCACATTTTTCTCAGTGTCAGCCAAAGCTTGTTATGATCTGTACAGATCTACTATTCCAGAAATGGAAAGTTGAAGAAGAATGATGTTGCATTCAGAATTAAAAAGACTGTTGCACCTTGAGGTTACAGTCGTATAGATCAAGATTCACGTAGTGTCACTGGAGGGCATTATCCCTAAAGATCAAGTTGTGCTCCTGAGAGTCACTCACCTTGAAGTTGAGGCTGTGCTGGGTCAGTGTGGGCTGGAGACCCTGATCACTCTGGAAGTAGCTGCCCATATGCTTGAGATGTTATGGGATTTTCACACCACTGATGTCAACTTCAGCAGTAGCAGCAGTGACAAATTTCTGCTGTGCTCTCCACAGAGGAACTTGATTGAGAGCTAGAGACCTGGTCCCATGGAGCAAGCCATTCTCCACGAGCTTCAGGAAAACCACCCTCATGCCTCTGTGGCGCTCATGATATGATCAGAATGGTCCCGGGGATGAGGCTAGAGTGCAGCTTCCTTACGTGCTGACTCAAGGGGTTTTTGCCATGACTCAACAGCTTCCAAGGCCCCTCTTCAGTAGGGTAATACCTAGGCATTGTGAAGTTTCACCACTTGGGTGCCATCATTCTTACCACCACCAACTGGTTTTGTGATAGTAGCAACAACCTCCTTCACTTTCAACCTGGATTTAGTGTCTGCATACTTTCTTTGTATGTGGCCTTCCTGGAATGCATGGCCGATCCCTGCCGATTCCTCAGACTGGGGCAGGATTACAGCAGCTTCCCTTTCTTGGGTGTTTTGCCCTTCTCCTTGCCCTTTTTAACTTTGCCTCCAGCATCTGCCTTCTTGGCCTCCTCAGCCTTCTTCTCCTTGGTGTCCAGCTTTCCACCCACCATCTTGCAAGATGGAAAAAGCAGGGGCAAAATCTTGAATGACCCAGGAAGCATCAAAAGAAGGCGAAGGAAATACAGAGTCCCTGTACCAAAATACAGTGTCCCTGACACTGAAATATTTCAGGAAGTAGCATATGATTAAGAGCCAATGGTGATGAAGGAAGAAGTTTAAGGTGCATTGAAAACATTGGAAAATACCAATTGACATTTCCTAGTTGATGCAAATTGAATGTGATGGGATACTGATATGTTTCAAGTACCAAAGTCTCTCTAAAGACTGGTTAGTCTGTATATTTTAAACTCATTCGTTTAAACTTTCTAACTGGCTTATTTTTATTATATGCACAAAACTGTGTAATCATTACCATTATCTGATTCCAGAATATTTTCATAATTTCCTTAAAGGTTCATTTTTTAGATTCAGGGTTTTTTTTACCATCACCCAAAAATCCTTTTGTAGGCAGAGGCCTCTGAAAGCCAAATGTCAGTTTGTATTTACATCATCTTCATTATATCCTAGTTCAACTGAAGACCTATTTGGTATTCAGAATTATTAATATTCATTCCTGTTCAGAATTATTTTAGTGTCTTCAGCAGTCTCATTTTCTTTTCTCCTTTAGTAAAATAACTAAAAACAAAACCCTCCAGAATTAGAGAAATTGAAGATCACAGTACCACCATAAATTTTAAACATCACAATCACAAGCATACTTTACATCATTTCTTTTTTACTTTACATTACTTTTATACTCTTCTTCCTCTTCCTGCCTAGCATTTCTGGTTCCCACTTTCCCCTAGTCCCTGTCCTTCCTTGAACCTCAGAATGTGACCATATTTGGTAAAAAGGTCATTGCAGATGTAATTTGTTAAGGTGAGATCAGACTAAACTAGAGCAAGCCCTTAATCCAACTAGACTGGTGTCCTTATAAGAAAAGACACAGACACAGGGGAAGAATGGCATATAAAGAATGAGGCCAAGCTTAGAGTTACATTGCCACAAACCAAAGAACACCAGGCGACCAAAAGCTAGAAAGTCCAGAAAGGACAGATAATTGGGAGAAGCATGGCCTTCGAACACCTTCATTTCTGATTTCTAGCCTCTGAACTGTGAGAGAATAAATTGCTGTTTAAGTTTTTCATGGTTATGATCATTTGTATGGCAACTCTGGAATGCCAGTACTGTTATTATGTTTCATTTACAACTGGTCAGATATTGACAGTAGTGCTAGTTAGCTGTGGAGTTTGCTGCTCTGATACTTATTTTGCTAAGTTATGTAACGGGACTAATAGATCCTACTTGATACTGTTGTTATGAAAACTAAAGGAGACAAAGTATGAAGTATAAACTATATAAGATGAAATACCTGACACATAATAAATACTCAAAGAAAGATACCATTAGATATAGATAGATATCGATATAGATATATAGAGAGGGATATATCACACACACATATAGTGATAACATGTATACACATACATACATATATGTGTACACACACACACACACACACACACAGTGATATCGTATATATAAATATGGATATTCTGGTGGACTAGTGGTAAGAAGTTGTGCTGTAATCCCAAAGCAAATGGTTCAAATCCACCAGCTGCACCATGGGAGAAAGATGGAGAATCTCTTCCCATATGACTCTGAAAACTCACTGGAGGGTCAGCTATGGTTTGGTTCAACAACATCATGTATATAATGTTGACAAGGTAGAAACATTTGGATTAAGTGTAATTTTTATTTATATCTAATTGTACCCAGAGAGAATTTATCAATAAATTTCTAGTAGAAGGTTTCTAGTAGTATTCCTTAGAACTTTGACCTTGACCTTCTCTGCCAACATTTTTTCATTAGATAAAAATACAGAAGTCATAACTATTATATCCATAGTGACATAAGCCTATTGGTTGACAAAATTGAGTTTTCAGAAAAATCTCAATAGCTTAAGAAAAATAAATTATGAGTGTGAAAAATATTTTAATTGAAATAAATCCAGAGTTTTGCATTTAGTTTATAAAATTACTTCAAAATAGAATGGAAGTTATGTAAAGTTTTCTGTATGAAGTTAAGGTGAAAAGCCTAATCTGGTTTTTTATAAAGAAGGTAATATTGCTGCATAACTAGTTGTATTTCAGAAGGCAACTAATAGGATGAGTATTTGGCAATCTTATCATGAGACACCTAGAAAACCATGAAATTTCCCTGAGAGGAGAAAACTCAAAAGCCACCATAGTTGCCTTTTTTCCCCCCATAGTTGCCTTCTGATGTTTGAAGAACTCTTTGTGAAATAAGGATCAGATTTATTGCAAACAGTATAAGCAATAACAACTAACAAGTGAATGTTAAAGGTGACGATATCAAGTTTCCACTTATAAAAGGAAAGAACCTTTAAACAGTAGATAGAATGTAATGACTCAGAGTAATCTCTCCCTTCACTCATTTCAATTATTGAAGCAATGGCTGGAGAGTTAAAAAAACAAACCAACCTCAGCACTGTCCTATGGCTATATCTTATCTCAAACTCATTGCCGTTGAGTTGGAACTGACTCCTAGTTAAACCCTCCTGGTGAGTCTCCAAGGCAGTAAATAGTGGGGAGGAATCTGCCCATCTTTCTCCACAGAGCCTCTGGTGGATTGAATTAGCAGCTCAACTCCCCACAGACTAGGCACTTTGGGTATCTCTTAAGACTTTATCATTCCCTGCCCTTTGCCAGTGATTCTGTGACTGCTGAGAAGGAACAATATGTAAAGGGGGGAAAGAGAGCAATTTAATTCATTGGCAAATAGAATTAGGAGTTTGCTGTGATGGGCAATTCAGGCTGTTTCCCTGAGATGCAACAAGTTTTTCACAGGGAACCTGAAGAGCAGCTGTTCTGTTCATCCATCCATAAACAGCTTATGCATCTGATGCCTACATATGTACATACACATACAGACGTCTATTTCATAATATAAATGTAAAAATGTATTGTGATTTAGGACTAATTTTTGCTGCATGTATATTTTCATGTTTAGTGGAGACTACTTATTTAAAAATCCCATACCATTTTTTCCATTAACTTTTATGCCCAATATAGAAAGACTGCTGACCTTATAGACTTTGCTTGACTTCCTGACCACAGTGCTTTATCTTACTCATTTCAATCTTACTTGCTTCTCTGAAGAGCAGGAAATTAACCAGAATGATACCAATCATTTTTAACCCAATAATACCAGTGTAACTGTTTTTATTATAGAAGCTTTACAATTTATTGAATAACTCCTTAATCTACTCACAAAATTTATTTTCTTAGTACTGGTTTTGTTAACTAAATAGGGGTTGATAAGGACATCAATACACGAAAATAACTTTTATTTTGGGGAAAAGTAGGAGCCCTGGTAGTGCAGTGTTTGAAGTGCTCAGTTGCTACTTGAAAGGTCAGTGGTTTGAATCCACCAGTTGTTTTGCGGGATCAAGATGAGGCAGTTTGTTTCCATGAAGCCTGTAACCTTAGCAACACTGTACAGCCCACTCTGTGCCTTAAGGTCCCTAAGAGTTAAAGTCACTGAGAGGCCCTGGATTTACAGAGAAATTTGGCACCTTCGAGTATCATTTCCCCATTTTACTTCAGTAAACAAACTCTTATTAAGCACAGCACATTTGTATTTTCTATTTAATGTTGGAATTCAATTGCTTGCAAGGGTGTTATATTTGACACTTTTGTTCTTTTGTATAACATTCTTCTGATTTAAAAAAAAAAACACAAAACTTGTTCATTTCCTATGGATTGATACTTGTTTTCTTTCTGACAGGCAGTGATGGTTTCAGAAAACTTTAATATAGAAGCTCCTAGCTATTTGTCCAGGGAATCTGAAGTTCTCATTTATGCCCGACAAGATTCGCAGTGCATTGATTGCTTCCAAGCATTTGTGCCTGTGCACTACCGCTACCATCAGCCACATAGTGAAGATGGGGAAACTGTTATTGTGGTCAATAATCCAGATTTATTGATGTACTGTGACAAAGGTGAGGTAAATCTTTTCTAAGGTTTGAAAATAAAAACAAAGGTGTACTGGCAAGTCTATGAAGCTGGTAAAAGCAGTTACAAAATGGAGCATTCTTAAAGGGCTAGATAGAAAACATTTTAGGCTTTGTTACCACATGTTCAAGAAACAGAACTTTACCAGCTGCCCCAGTAGCAATACATATGCCCTGCTCCAGTTTCAACTTCCTGTGTCCCTCTTAAACTAATCTACTAACCTGATTTGATTTACTTTTTTTTAATTAATTTTAATGAAAGTTTACAGAGACTTTGGATTTCCATTCACTTTTCTCCCTGCCCAACCTCCCCCCCCCACTGATTTACTTTCTTATATTTCTTTATAATTTTGTCACCTAAGTGGCATAACTTACTTCTGCCCACTTAAAAAAAATTTTTTTTTAGAGGTCCCTTGTGCTTTATTGAGAACAGCTCCCTGGCCCACATCTTAATGCCACTGTGGGTGCTGGGGCCAGCCCTGCCCCCACCCACTGCTCCAGATGGCCACTTCCACCCCCCCAGGCCCTGTGCTGAGTTCAGGCCAAGCTGTTCATGCAGCAAATCCAATGGAGGTCACTTCTGGGACCTGGCCTCACGGGAGGTACAAGAAGACACCTGTAGCCTGGGTCTGGCCCAGGGGACCCAGCCTGCTGGGTGACGCTGGGCCTGGCCGGTTTCTGCCTGGTGCCTGCCAGGGGACCCTGGTCAGAGGTGCTGTGTCCACTGCTCCTCTTGCATGGTCAGTCCATCTCCAGGCTGGCGTTGTCACCTGAGCCCTGTGTAGCCGTAGGGGTGTCACAGCAGCAGGCTCTGGTGGCTGGGTAGCACATGTGTGTGGTAGTGCTCCACCAGGCTGCCCAGTTCACAGTCAGGACCTCGCCCTCTTTATCAATAATGTCTCTTAGTTTACAGGTTTCTTTTATTTTTTTATTATTTTTCAAATTTATGAAGAACATAGGCCATTTGACCTGCACTTCATAGTTTGAATGCTCCTTTGACTTCTTTGTTTCCTGGAAGTTGGCAGTGGCTCCAGAGGGTGTGATCAGATTCAGATATTCAAATTTGATTACTTTGGCAAGACCCCTATAGGGTGGTGCTCTGTTCTTTTATTTTATCTTTTTGTGATGTTAGCAGCCTTTGATCTTTAGTACCTAATCCTTCATTCACTAAAAGTTGACAAACAGTGATATCTTAATTTCCCCCCCCCCCCATTTCTTAAAATTATATACTTCCTGCATCTGGCCTAACGGGCAAGCATTTATACTCCTAACCCAGTGACAGGTGATTCAAATCCACCAGGGGCTCCATGGGAGAAAGGCAGGCAGTCTTCTGTGAGATTTTAGCCTCTGAAAACCCACTGGAGGGTCGGCTCTGAGTATATAACAATTTGGTACTAGTATATTATGGGAAAGACCGCATAGATATTAGATCCTTTCCCTTTACTTGTTAGCTTTTAACAGAAGAAATTAGCTTTCTGTCATCCTCAGGACGTGACTAACCAATTTTTTTAAATATTAGTAGTGAATTTTAATACAATTGTAAGAAAATTTGTTGATTTATTAGTAAAATGCTTAGCTGCTGAGAGATTGTAATTGTTGTTGTTGTTTTGTGCCCTCAAGTCACCTGCTACTCATAGCGACCCTATGTACAATAGCCCTAAACCCTGCCAATCTTACTGATTCCTTGTCTCTGACACACCTATCCCCATTACCCCAGTGACAGAATCAATCCATCTTATCAAGGGTCTTCCTCTCCTGCACTGTCCCTCCACTCTAAGCATGACGTCCCTCTCCAAGGACTGATCCCTCCTTGCAACATGTCCAAAGTATGTCAGCCAAAGCTTCAGAATCCTTGCCCGGTTTCACCCTCTCCAGGATGAACCTGTTTGTTCTCCTAGCAGTCCATGGTATATGCAATACTCTTCTCCAGCACCATAGCTCAAAGGCATCAATTCTCCTCCTATCATCCCTAGACATTGTCCAGCTCTCTGAAGCACAGCAAGTAATGGCAAAGACCATGGCCTGTATCAGGCGCACTTTAGTCTCCAGACTGACATTGTTGCTCAATACCATGGAGAGGTCTCTGACAGCACTTTGCCAATGCAATTCATCTTTTAATTTCCTGGCTGCTGGTACCAAGAGAGTTGATTGTAGAGCCAAGCAAACAGAAGCTGTCAACAGCCTCAATCTCTTCACCATCTATCATGATGTTGCCAATCGGCCCAGGGTGAGAATCTTTGTTTTCTTGATGTTGAGCTTCAATCCACATTGAAGGCTGCGATTCTTGACCTTCTGCAGCAAGTGCTTGAGGTCCTCTTGTTTCAGCAAGCAGGGTTGTGTCATTTTGCATAACTCAGATTGTTGATGAGTCTACCTCCAATCCAATGCCACACTTCTATTCATAGAGCTCAGACTACCGGATAATCTGTTCCACATATAGATTGAAAAGATATGGAGATAAGGCATAGCTTTAACATGTATTCCGGCTTTGCTGCCTATATTTGTAGATAGATTTTTATTGGAACACTGGCACACTCCTTTACAGACAGCGGCTGTTTTGGTAGTGGTAGAGTTGAATAAGGGAACTCACACGGTATAGTCCATATGTAGTTGTGTTGCTAACCCAAAGGCAGCAGCTCTCTGGCACTTCAGACCCCTCAGGGGCTCTACGGGAGAAAGCTGGGAAGTCTCCTGCTGTGTACCTCACAGCTTCAGAAACACTCTTAAGAGTCACCTATGGTTTGTCTCCAACTCAACAGCAATGAGGTTTTTGAGATATAAATCAAATGACCTCACAGCCAACAGAACCATTAACAACCTCTGACCTAACGTGTGATGGTGAAGTAAGTTTCTTCCCTTTTAAGTTGTACCTTCTTTTTGCCTGACTATTCTTTCAGATCGTATATCATTTTCTTAAAATCTGTTAGCCTGATTTGAAATAGTGGTACTTTTGATTTATTTTATGGACATCTCTTTGCGGTGTGCTTTTTGTTGTCAGAAGAAATGTTTTTCTGCTCTGTGGTCTTTCTTTCATTTTAATTATCCGTATTCTCAACTTTAATTTCACTCTCATCACTTTCTATTCAGCGTGAAACTTGGTCCTGAGAGAAAAA